GATCAATTTTCTTACTCCTTTTGAAATGTTGTATCACCATGCTCCTAATTATACATTGCTCAGAACTTTTGGTTGCCGATGTTATCCATGGCTTAAACCTTATGTTTCACATAAACTTCAACCCAGGTCTGTGCCTTGTGTGTTTCTTGGTTACATTCCATCTACCAAAGGCTATAGGTGTCTTGATCCTGCTACTGGACAAATTCATGTTTCCAGACATGTTGTTTTTGATGAAGATGTTTTTCCTTTTGCTTCTTCTCCATCAGTTAAGTCTGCCTCTCCTTCTTTGTCCTAGCTGAGCTCATTTTTCTGGTCTGATCAGTCTTTATTTGTGCCTTCCCCTGTAGTTTTTCCTGCTTCAGTTCAGTCACCACAGTCCCAACTTTCACCACAGTCACAAGTTCCAATTCCTGCTTCAGCTCAGTCATCACAGACACCTCTTTTACCACAGTCCCAAATTATACCATAGTCACCAATTCCAATTGTTTTTGGTCAATTTGATTCTGTTCCAGCCACTGCTGCTCCTCTTGGCAATCTGCCTTCTGTTTCAACTCAGTCTGCTGGTTTGCCTCAATCTGCTACTGCTAGTTTGCCTCAGTTTGCTGCTGCATTGTCTCAATCTGCTGGTTTACTTCCTTCTTCTTCAATCTCCAAGCCTACTTCTGAGCCTCAAATTCCCATATCTTCCTTATCTGTTCTTTTACCTCCTATTCCTTCCTCTCATTCTATGCCCTCCAATTCTCCTCCTAATATTCATCCCATGATCACTAGGTCTAAATCTCAACATCAGTGCTTTCTCACTTCTTCTGATCAGTCTAAGCCTCAATCCTATCAAGAGGCCTCTCAATCTAGTGCTTGGACTGCTGCCATGAAGGAGGAATACACTGCCTTGATCAAACAAGGTACTTGGACTTTGGTCCAGCTTCCTTCCACCAAAACGACTATTGGTTGCAAATGGGTATTTCGCCTTAAGAAAAATTCTGATGGGACTATTGCTCGACATAAAGCCCGATTGGTTGCAAAAGGGTTTCTCCAAACTGAGGGTATTGATTACTTTGAAACATTTAGTCCTGTAGCAAAACAACCTACTATCAGAATTCTCCTCTGTTTGGCTCTTCATTTTCAGTGGTCTATCAAACAGCTGGACATTTCTAATGCATTTCTACATGGTATTTTAGAGGAGGAGGTGTACATGCATCAACCTATTGGTTTTGTTGATCAAAATAATCCTTCCTTAGTTTTCAAACTAAATAAAGCCTTGTATGGCCTCAAGCAAGCACCTAGGGCCTAGTTCTCTACTTTTTCCTCTTTCCTTCTTACTCATGGTTTTAAGGCCAGTCATTGTGATTCATCTCTGTTTGTTAAAAGGACTCCTCACTCTATCACTGCCATTTTAATCGATGTTGATGACATTTTACTTACAGGCAGTGATTCTTCCTATATTTCTACTCTCATTACTCAGATACATTATACCTTCTCTATGAAGGAATTGGGCTGATCAATTATTTTTTGGGAATCTCTGTTACTACTTCTTCTTCAGGATATTTTTTTATCTCAAAGAAAGTATGCTACTGAAATTTTGGTTAAAGCTGGTATGACCAATTGCAAATCTTCTCCTTCCCCTTTGCCTCTCAAAGCTTCTACTGATCCAGTAGATTTACCCTTTTCTCAGCCTTCTCTCTATCGTAGTCTTGTTGGTGCCTTACAATATCTTACCATTACTCGTCATGACTTAGCCTTTGTTGTTAATCACGCATGTCAATTTCTTCAAACTCCTCTTACCAGCCATTTTGCTTTGGTTAAAAGAATTCTCCGATATCTGAAAGGCACTCACCATCAAGATCTCCATTTTACTCCTGGCCCTCTTACCTTGCATGCTTTTTCTGACTCAGATTGGGCAGGCTGTTCCCTTGACCGAAGATCAACCACTGGTTATTGTGTGTTTTTGGGTCCTAATTTGATTTCTTGGTCAGCCAAGAAGCAACCTATCGTGTCTAGATCTTCCACTGAAGCTGAGTATAGAGCTCTTGTTCAAACTGCTACTGAATTGAGCTGGCTTGGCATGCTGCTGTTTGATCTTCATATTGCAGTTCCAGCTCCCATCCTTTGGTGTGATAATCTGTCTGCAATTTCCTTATCCAGCAATCCTGTGTTTCATGCCCGATCTAAACATATTGAAGTTGATTATCATTATGTTCGAGAACGGGTTGCAGCCAAAAAGCTTCTTATTCATCATGTTTCTTTAATGGATCAACTTGTTAATTTGTTCACCAAGCCGCTCCCCTCTCCTCGGTTTTTGTATCTGCAGAACAAGCTTCTGGGATCTTTCATCCCTCTCAGCTTGAGGGGGCTTGATAAAGAGTCTAGCCATGATCCAGCTTCTTTAGCTAAAGCTTCTTCAGATAGCTCCAGCTCCAGCTCCAGCTCCAGCCAGCATGCTCATGCTCAGTCGACAGCTTCATCTTTATTATCAACACCTGCAACTGCAACTGTTAGGCAGTTACAGAGTAGTTAGGCAATTACAGAGTAAACTAGAGTTAGGTAGTTTGTTATGCATTAGTTAGCTTGAACCAGAGTTAGCTTGAACCAGAGTTAGTTTGTGTAGTTTATAAATACCTTCATCTCTGTAATTGTAATTTAATCTGAATAATAGAAATGTTTTGATTTGATCTCTACAAAATATCTTTTACAGATCACCGAGACGCACCCGAAATGGGTCCAAATTGCCCTAAATTGGATCCTCTAGTCCAATTAGAGCAATATATATCTCTTATATATCAACCTGAGTACTTCATAAAGTTACTTTTAATTCTTTTTTCTTTACTAACACCTATTGATCTGCAATTTCTTCTTGATTTGTTTAGGATGAGGTAAAACAAGGTGTCATTCCTAAATCAATCCAAATTTACATGCACGAAACTGGTGTTTCTACAGAAGATGCCAAAGAACACATAAACTATTTGATTAGTGAGGCATGGAAGAAGATCAATGAAGCTCGTGTTGTGGACTCTTCCATCAATGGCACTTTTGTTGAGATTGTAACAAACATGGCTAGGGTTTTCCAATTCATGTATCAATATGGAGATGGCCATGGACATGATATTGGAGGGAAGAACAAAGAACGTGTCACTTTGTTGCTCATTGAGCCCATTCCCCTTAAATAGATAAATCTTGCTTTAAGTTAAAGAACAAATTATAGAGGTACTTTTTCATAAATCTCTTTTCACCTACTTATGTTTCACTTAATCCAAATTGTTTTCTTATGTTCCAATAAATCCCATTGACAAGTAATTCTATTTCCACATACTAAATCCCCTCAGGGCACACACTTAATGAATTTCTTCAAAATCACATTTTTATCGTTTAATTAAATTATAATTTAGGACAAATCTTTATCTTTTTCTATTTTCCCAATACACATCCAAACATATAGGGTTTGGTTGGATATCAACCTTCGAACGGATCTAGGGTTTGCAAATGTTGGGTTCACGACAATAAAAAGATTTGTAGAGGTTGGGATCGTGGAGGAGAAGGTCGTAGAGGTTAGGGTTTTGAAGAAATGGTAGGTAGCAAGGGTATATTAGGGTGGTTTAGGCTAAAGTGAGGATGGGCTAAGAGTAGCGGTGGCAATGGAGGGCTAAGAGTGGTGGTGGTGGCGGCAACGGCAACGGTAGCAGCGTCATTCCAAGTTTTTCGGAAGAAGAAGAATAGGTGGATAAAAAAAAAATTAGGATTTTGAAAATAAAAGATAAGAGCATTGTTGGAATGAAGAGATTGTACTGAAAATATTTTTATTTTTAATGTGTGCTCTGAAGGAATTTAGTATGTGGAAATAGAATTACCCCCCATTTATGTTATAGTTACTAAAGCACCCTTGGAGGTTATTGTGTTATTCAAACAATATCACCAACTTCACATTAGAAAAAACTACTTCATATACTCTCCAAATTTCTTTGAAATTTGAAAATGACTTCGCTGATTTGCCTTCTATCATCTACGATCAGTGTCGCATCATTCGGTTTCTAAGTTGAAAGTGTTTTGTCGCTGGCATCACATTATTATTAATTTACTTTTAATAGTTAAATTTAGTAAATTCAGAATTATACTGCTCAAAATTTGTAGGGGGTTTTGTTTTTAGCTCCTCCATTATAAGTCTTTGCAAATGCAAGGACATAAAAATAGTATTTCTAATATAAGTTTTCCAAGAGTATGCTTTATTTGAATGAAAATACCCTTACTGAATCTAAAGGCCTGAAAGAACATAATGTATACAACAGTCATGTTAACATATAAAATTAATATCACATCTATCCACTAATAATATATAGGGTTTGCAACATTTGAAATGCACCATTCCTCCTTGCAAGGTATTTTTCGTGCAATTGCAACCTCAAACGTACGCACTTAAATTTTATTAAGACAACAATGCCTTTAGTTGGATCCATGAACGTGTGTGGTAAAGTATACAATATACTAATCAAGATCCACAATCGCCAACATAAACATTTTTTTTCATAATTAATGGTTTTTAAAAATTCATGACTGCATCACCTGATTCCTAAAACTTACAACCGGATACGCTGTATACAACCACACTGTGACATATTCTGGTCAATACTACTAATTAGGTGCTTATATCAGTGCAATTAGTAATTAAAAAAAAAGAAAACTATCGCCTATAACATGTAAAAAATTTAGACCTTTTGCGACGACAATGTTGTACCGTCGCTAAAAGTTTTATTTGAGACGGCAAAAAATATAACCGCAAAATGTTTTTTTGTTGCGACAAATGACCTCTGTCGCCAATTTCTTTTGTGACGGCATTGCCTATGTCGCCAAAAAAATAGATTTTAATTCTAATGTTTTTTGCGACAGTGTGGTGTCGTCGCAAAAAATAAATAAATAAAATAATAATAATAATAATAATAATAAAATTACCTATATTAAATGAAAAAAATGAAAAAGAAACCAATAATTTCATAATAATATAAAAATTCCTGTATAGAAATAACAATTTCTCCATAATAAAAATGTTCTTGCATTCATAACCATACATCAACAAAATTATTCCACTACATAATGTTCCATAATACATATATAATGTTTAAATACATAATGTTGTTTACAATTCAAAATAACATAAACCAAAAACAAAAGTTTTCCTCATTATTCTCCGTAGGTAACAAAACAAAAGTTAGTTGCATTTTTCACAAGCATGCATTCCATAAGAAGCAAACTCCTACTCGGGAAGTATCTGGAAAAAAAAAAAAATTAATGACAATATAATTTTTTATTAATATGTTAATTACAAAAAAAAACATAAAAATTTAACTACTATACAATTAAAAAGATAATTAAGTAAATAATTTGCCTAGATCGAAATCCGACTCTAACTCCCAAATCGGGAACCCGATTCGAGTCCCGTCTTCTCTCACAAGTCTCTCATGCCAAGGCGGTCATGTGTGCCAAGTTTCATGCTAATCCGACGCCGTTTGGTGATTTTGGGGCGTCAACACCTTGAATTCTAAGTTTCTTAAGAAACTAGTTTGCCTAGACCGAAATCCAGCTCTAACTCCCAAACCGGGAACCTGATTCGAGTCTCGTCTTCACCCACAAGTCTCTCGTGCCTAAGCGATTGTGTGTGCCAAGTTTCGTGATAACCTAACGCCGTTTGGTAATTTTGGGGCATCAGCACCTCAAATTCTATGTTTATTAAAGAATTAGTTTGCGTAGACTGAAATTTGGCTCTAATTCCCAAACCAGGAACCTGATTCGAGTCCTGACTTCTCCCACAAGTCTCTCATGCCTAGATGGTCGTGTGTGCCAAGTTTCGTGCTAATCTGACATCGTTTGGTGATTTTGGGGTGTCAAACCTCGAATTCTAAGTTTCTTAAAGAACTAGTTTGCTTAGCCTAGACTGAAATCTGGCTCTAACTCCCAAATTGGGAACCCGATTTGAGTCCCGACTTCTCCCATATGTCTCTCATGCCAACGCGGTCATGTGTGCCAATTTTCGTGCTAATCCGACGTCGTTTGGTGATTTTGGGGCGTCAACACCTTGAATTCTAAATTTCTTAAAGAACTAATTTGCCTAGATCGAAATCCGACTCTAACTCCCAAACCGGGAACTCGATTCGAGTCCCGTCTTCTCCCACAAGTCTCTCGTGCCTAGTTGTTCATGTGTGCCAAGTTTCGTGCCAATCCGATGTTGTTTGGAGATTTTAGGTTGTCAACACCTCGAATTCTAAGTTTCTTAAGGAACTAGTTTGCCTAAACCAAAATCTGACTCTAACTCCCAAATCGAGAATCTAAATCGAGTCTCGTTTTCTCCTATAAGGCAGTCGTGTGTGCCAAGTTTCATGCTAATTCGAAGCTGTTTGGTGATTTTGTAGCGTCAACACCTCGACTTTTAAGTTTCTTAAGGAACTAGTTTGCCTAGACCGAAATCCTGCTCTAACTCCTAAACCGGGGACCCGATTCGAGTCCCGTCTTCTCCCACAAGTCACTCATTCCTAGGCGGTCATGTGTGCCAAGTTTCATACTAATCTGACTCTGTTTGGTGATTTTAGGGCGTCAACAACTCGAATTCTAAGTTTCTTAAGGAATTAGTGTGCCTAGACCGAAATCCGGCTCTAACTCCCAAACCGGGGACCCAATTCGAGTCCCGTCTTCTCCTACAAGTCTCTCATGCCAAGGCAGTTGTGTGTGCCAAACTTCGTGCTAATCTAACGCCATTTGGTATTTTGGAGCGTCAACACCTCAAATTCTAAGTTTCTTAAGGAACTAGTTTACCTAGACCGAAATCCGATTCTAACTCCCAAACCGGGAACCCGATAATATGCTTGAGCTTAATAACATAAAACTAAATTATAAAGATAATTTTTTTAGAGGCTTTATTTAATAAGAACCTATTATGAGGATATGCGTGTTTGAATTTTGAATAAACATTCACTAGCTCATTGAATTGAGCTTAAAAGAATTATGACAATTAGAACAACCTTCCCAAATTAATAGTTTCACGAAGATGAGGTTCAATACACCAAATTACCTTCTTCTAATGTAGGACAACTTAGGAAACTTGGGACAAAGCTGCCTACATATGTTCTATAATTAGTTTAGGACCTTCAAGAAGATGAGTACCTTTCATAGCCAAGACCTTCAAGAACAAGTGAACCAAACTCCCAAAACTTGATTGGCTCTATATTAGTTACAAAATATGCATGCAAAACCAGCATGATATTGTAACTTTGTCAATTAAAGCCTTTCAAATTCAGAAAATGTCATTGACCAACTTATGGGCAAATTACATAACAAAGCTTGACTATGCCATATTCCTTTTTATTATTAATAAATTGCTCTACTTATATATATATATACACAGAGAGAGAGAGAAAGAGATAATTAGATTTACAGACCAATCCATCTTGGTCATATTACATTAATGGTCAAGAAGCAGTTAACAAAAATCTTTTACACGTATAAATTATTAAGTCTCCAATGAAGACAGTTAATTTATGGACCAGAAAGTTTAAAACAAACCGCAAGAATGAAATACAAAAAACACTACTTACAATGAACAATTTAAGCCATGGATATTAAGTTGGGAATAAAGAAGAATTAACATTTTTGTGATGAAAAACTAGGTTAAAAGGTAATGGTAAGGACATTATGAGGTACAAGCAAGTATAATTGTCACGAGATCTGCCTTGTCAAGAACTTACCTCATGAAATAAATGGACTGATAATAAGAAGAAGAAAATGAGACAAAAATAGGAGAAATGCTATACATTCAAGTATTAACCTGAGTCCCAGAAGAATTTATATATAGATATATAGGCTTTGATGGGTTATCATAATCCAACCACATGAACTAAGCAACAAGAAGCTCAGTTACTGCTAACACAATCTGTAGCAATCAGACAAAAAAATAACTATTATTATGGTGTAATAGCAACAAGATTGATAAAATTTATCAACCATATAGCCACTTAGATATACAATGAATAGAAATGAAGCAACAAGTAAAGAGAATAACCCTTTGTGACACTTTCAGATTGTCGGTGGATGGAATTATCTTCAGTCTTGAACATGTCCATTTGTGAAGGACTTAAGTCGTAAAGATATTGAGGGGCATTCTTGTAATTGTCTATCACTACAAGTAAGAAGATGGGAAAGTGATAAGTAATCATCTAAACAATGCTTGTTTCAGATAAAGTCATAGAACTCAAATTCAAGATTTGACTTCATAATCCAATCAGATGTGACATCAAAATTAGATTGCGTTTAAGTTCTTATACAATATACCACCCAATTGGGGCAAAACCACATCTATTGCATCATATCAGGTTAGATACATTCAACATGGATGTAAAGGAAATATATACACAAAAGATTGATGTTACACCATTCTCAAATACCTTTACGTCATGTTTTTTAATTTGTAAATTTACTAGCAAACACATGTTTCTACACAACCTAGAGTTGGATAGAATTCTCCAACAAATCTTATAACCCAAATCTCTATATATTTGAATTACCAAAATCCTTGACCTAATATGAGCAATACAAACAACCAAACACAAATTCAAACAACAGTTCTACACAAACTAAAAAAACTCATATCAATGACTAAATTCTTAATCATTTTAAACAATAAGCATATCTGGAAATATATGTATATACATATATATCCCACTCTAAATACTATAAAAGTTTTGTATCAAACAAATGTTTAGTGTGGCAGAGTTAGAGATGGACCAAGCTGCCACACTTCTTGTTGGAGTATAAGAAGTTATATTTTATACATTACATCCTCTCTTTTTCATAATAATCTTTTTTATTTTCTGATGAATCATGCTTGCCAAATGGATTGAAGCACAACGGCAAAGGCCCTCTTGTCCAAGTCTACGGAGAAGGAAAGAGGATAGACTTGAACAAAGGGTTAAACATGTTATTTGGGAACAAACGGGGATGCCATTTGTTCATTAGAATTGTTCAAAAATTTTAAATAAGTGGAACTGTTCTATGGAGTGTAGGGGAGGTCATTGGAATTTCGTGCAGCTGTACAAGAAAATAATAGACAACTTTTTGGTAGCCTTGAAAGTGGCTTGTGCATGTAGGCAACTTCAATGGCAATCTATAATTAACTTTGAAATTAATTAAAAACTAATTTGTGTAGCATAATATGGCCACAAACAAAAGGTTAGCTTCATGAAGCACTAAACAATAAATTAATTTTTGTGTGCTATTGTGTTCGCTAATTTTGATAGATATCGTTGTTGTAGTTAGGTACAAATGCATGAACCTTTCCATCTGTATTCGAATAATAAATGTCAATGTGTATATGTGGAGTCTATTATATTTAAAAAATAGTAGAACCCTTTATGCCCACATAAAAACCGAAGAAGTGAAAAGTTTGGGAAAAATATTTAGGTGATCTTGAAAAGAATTCAATTAACTAATTTATGGAAACAAAATTATTTAATTTTTAAGCTGAGAATTAAAGAAACTTGAATTTGAATTGAATAAAATTGAATTAATAATTGCATCATTGAATTAGAAAATAGAACCAATTTATATAAATGGAACAAATTCCTAACATAGGAAGTACATAAGAATTTATTGTTACAGTAGAAAATTCCCACAATTACAGTATTAATATATCTCAAAATTCTATGAAACAAATACATTATGGCACAAAAAAATCAATTAACAAAATAAAATTTTCAATAAATATATATGTATTGAGCAACTATGGCACAAAAAAATCAACAAGCCGAATTGTTAATATTTTTATTTTCTTTTTTAATTTTTTCAGTAGTTAATATAACAATAATTGCTAGTCTACCAATATATCTACAACCACTACAAGAGACCAAAAAAGAAATAGTTCAAAGAAACAGAGACTAAATTCAAAAGAAACAATAAACAATAAAAAAACCCTAATTAGGTATCCAAAACACAAAGCAAAGCACTAATTCAACATAAACCATAAACAATTTATCATAATCAACCACACATAGGCCTAATTTATACTAAATTGGAGAAATTGAAGAAAAGAAACAGCAATGGAATGGCCAAAAACCTAAAATTAAATAGAAGTGATATATATATATATATATATAGAGAGAGACAGAGATAGAGACAAAGACAGAGAGTGCCTTAACCTTAGCTCAATGGATCTATGATTTCGGCTTTAGAGGCTCTAATCTGACAGCAAACGAAGGGCCGAACCAGAGACTCTACGGAGGCGGATGAGGCGGCAGATTCGGAGGAAGAAGAAAAAGTAGTGGTGACAGTGGATGTAGATATTTGGTGTTGTCGTAGTCGTGGTCGTGGTCGAGGCAAGAGTCGTGAGCCGATGGAGGAGGAGCAGTAGTGAACCAAAAAGAGATGTTGAGCGATTCAGGGACTCGCTTTTTCACCGCCGCAGCCGCTGCTAGCCGTCATCACTCGCTGCTCACCATCGTCGCTCGCTACTCGCCATCGTCCCCTCTTGCTGCTGCTACCAATGTCGTTGCTTGCAGTCATGAGAGAGAGAGCATCGTATTTTGGGAATTTTTGAATTTGGGGATTTTTTGTTTAAGGGATTAGGGATTGGGATTTGAGATCGTGAGAAACAAAGGGGGGAAAGACATGGGGAATTCGGATAGAAAAAAAAAGGGAAAAACGAAAAGAAAAAGAAGAGAGTCAGGAAAGGCGGCGTGAACGACGTCGTCTTATTTATTTTTTGTTAAAATGAATTTATTTTTTTATAGTTAATGAAATTTTTTTTATTTTTTTGTTTTTAGTTACTAAGGTTGAAAATTTATTTGTTTCATTTTTATTTTAATGAAAAAATATTATTATTTTTTATTTGGTAGAAGTAGGGATAATATTTTAATGAAAAATATTTTCTGTTAAAATAAAATTTATTTTTTGTGGTCAATGAAAAATATTTTTCTGCGGTCCATTTTTTTTTTTTGTTACTAAAAATCATGAACTAATTTTTTGTGGTAGAGGAAAGAGAGTGATAGTAGTTGTGAAGGTGGTGGATAAGAGGTGATGGTAGTGGTGGTCGTGATGGCAAAGGAGATTAGTGGTGAAGTTGTGGTAGTGGTAGAGGATATGGAGTGGCGGTGGTGGAAGAGAGGTAATGGTAGTAGTAATGGCAGTGGTGATGGTGGTAGTAGTAGTGGAGTGGTGGCAATGGTATTAGTAATAGTAGTCGTAAAGGTGGAGTGGCAACAATGGTAGTAGTTGTGGTACTGGAATGGCATTTGCAGTAGTGGTGAAGGTGGTAGAGAAGATGTGTAGTGAAAGAGAGAGATGAGTGAGAGACAAATAGAGAAGAGAGATAGAGAAAGACAGAAACAGAGTGATAAGCGAGAGAGAGACAAAGTGGTCGCTAAAAGTGCATTTTCTTATAGTGGATCGATAAATCGAGAGGGAGCTTGGTAAATAGAGAAGTGGGAAGGGAGAGAGTGAGCAAGGCAAACACAGTGGGGAAGAGACAGACAGACAGACAGACAGACAGGTAGACAAAGAGAGAAAGAAAGAGAGAACAGTGATGAGTGTGTGTGAGAGAGAGAGAGAGAGAGAGAGAGAGAGAGAGAAACAAGAGATGAGCAAGAGATAGACAGAGAGAGATAGAGAGAGAGAGAGAGAGAGAGAGAGAGAGAGAGAGAGAGAGAGAGAAAGAGAGCCTAAAGAGATGAATGAGAGAGAAAGAGAGACACAGAAAAAGAGAGAGACAGAGAGAGAAGAGAGATGAGCGAAAGAGATATAGAGAGAAGAGAGATGAGCGAGAGAGAGAGAAAGAGGAAAACAAAAAGAGAAGAGGGACGAGTAAGAAAGAGATAGATAGAAAGATGAAAAAATGGGTGAAAAGAGAAATGTTATATCAAAGGAGTAAGATGATGTTGTTTTTTTTATTTTTATTTTTTATTTTTTTGCGACAGAAAAATGTTGTTGCATTATTCAAGAATGTGTCACTTGAGTGTAAACTCCCTCGCTCGAGCATAAACTCCCTCGCTTGAGCGAATAAGAAAAAGCAAGGCTCCCAAAAAAAACGCCCTTTTGAGCATAATAAAGGCACTCACATTGTCAAGTGGAACTTGGAACAAAAGGAGGTTAGCAAAATAGTAAGAATATGATACTAAGATGAGATAATCCACAAACCATGAAGCCCATAAACTCGCAATTTTGACAATATGAGCACAATACTCATGAGCAAATCAGGTAACCATCAATCAATGAGGATAAGTGACATGAGAATACACAACTCAAAGACAACCATGAGAGCTCAAATAATGAATGTGTGTGTGCGCGCGCGCGCGCAATCCTTGAGAGGCCATAGAGCTAGAGTTAATCATCGTAGTGATCGGATGGCGGGACCTCCAGCAAGAGTTACTGAACATCACAGAGAAAAGTCAAACTACTAGAAATCAAGGGGTATTTGTTAAGTAAAAGTGGAGGCTTTCCCTCAATTAATGAGTCCTTTTTTTTATTTATATTTTAACTATTCTTGCTTGTAGGCAGTCACTGGTGGCATACATGCTCAAGAGTATGGAGACCAAACCAGAGAAGTGTGAAATCAATAAGGATAGCCTGGTTGGTGCCTCTAAGGTAGCCTTTTCCTAATGCCCGGATTTCAATGAACTGAGGGAGGAACCGTGGACGTGAAAAAATGATGGTAACTGGTTAAGAGACTCAACATTACCCATGATATGCCAGTATAGGTCAATTCCTCTAAAAATGTAAAAAAGACACTGTTAGTGGTCCATAGAGAACTTTGATCACTTGTGAGGAAACCCCTGCAACAATTTATCTCAAGGATGTGTACAAAATGAGACCATGAAGTCAATGAGCATGAGCATTCAGAATGAGCTATGAACAAAGAAGAATGAAATCTTGCAAGCAACATGAGAGGTGTTCATATGACTCTAAATGCGGAGATGACATGAATCAATGACAATGAGATTATAGCATCCAAGTACACATAAAGCCAATCACGCTCACCCACTCAAGTAACAAGTCACACCCTAGTGACTGAGCACTACACCTAAGTTCTTTCTAAGGAACTCAAACCTGAGAAGATCAAGGGGTTTTGTAAAAATATTAGCCTATTAATGCTCAGTGGGTACATGTTCAAGAACAACAAGGCCCTCTTCCACTAACTCTCGAATAAAATGATGACGAATGTCAATGTGTTTGGTGCGAGAGTGTTGGACATGATTTTTAGAAATGTTAATGGCACTTATGTTATCACAGAAAAGGGTGAAAGTGTCCTGGTCTATACCGTAATCACGAAGCATTTGCTTCATCTACAACATTTGTGCACAACAACTTCCTGTAGCAATGTACTCGGCCTCAGCAATCGAGAGAGAAATAGTATTTTTCTTTTTTGCTATGCCATGCAACCAGATTATTCCCAAGGTAAAAACACCCCCTGGATGTACTTTTCCTATCATCAGCACACCCTGCCCAGTCGGCATCAGAAAAACCAGTAATTTCGGCTATAGTGTTGGTAGAAAACCAAACCCCATACCCCAGTGTCCCATTAACATACTTAATGATGTGTTTAACCACAAGAAGATGAGACTCTTTAGGACTAGCCTGGTAACGGGCACAGACACCTACACTAAATACAATATCAGGTCGATTGGCAGTAAGGTAAAAAAGACTCTCTATCATACTTCTATAAAGGGTAGGATCAACATCAGTACCAGATGAATCTTTGGAAATGTGAAGACTGGTGCTCATGGAAGTACAAGCATGTTTGGTTGACTCTAGACCGAACTTTGACACAAGGTTTTTGGCATACTTAGTCTAAGAAACAAATATACCCAAAGGAGACTGTTTAATTTAAAGACCCAAGAAGTAAGACAACTCTCCCATCATGCTTATTTCAAACTCATGTGTCATGTAATCCGAGAAATATTTCACAAGAAAATCAGCAGTGGACCCAAACACAATATCATTAACATAAATATGAGCAACAAGTATATGAGACTTAGTATGTTTCACAAATAAGGTCTTGTCCACACTACCCCTTTGAAAATCATTATTAAGCAAAAATGTAGTAAGTCTATCATACCAAGCTCGAGGAGCTTGTTTCAACCCATATAATGCCTTGTCTAACTTATAGACAAGCTGTGGACATTTTGGGTCCTCAAACCCTTTTGGTTGCTCAACACACGCCTCTTCTTTCAAGTACCCATTCAGAAAGGAACTTTTCACATCCATTTGGAACAATTTGGACCCAAGAAAACATGCAACACCAAGTAAAATATAAATAGATTCGAGACGTGCAACCGGGGCAGACATCTCATCATAGTCAACACCCTCTACTTGTGTATAGTCTTGAGCAACCAACCTAGCTTTATTTCTAACCACAGTACCATTCCCATCATATTTATTTTTAAATATCCACTTGGTACCTATCACATTCATGTCTCTAGGTTTGGGAACAAGAGTCCAAACTTTGTTACGTTCAAATTGACCTAACTCTTCATGCATAGCATTGACCCTACTATCATCTAGTAAGGCCTCTTTTATATTCTTAGGTTCAATTAATGAAACATAACACATATTAGATACCTTCTCCCGAATTTGTCTTCGGGTTTTCATTCGATCTAAGACACATCCAATCACCTGTTGAGCCAGATAAGTCAGTTTTACCTTTGCTAATGGTTTGAACTCTGGACTTGTAGTGACAGGAGCATCAGAAGTGGTGTCTCTTTGTGCACTTTTTGGACTCGGACTTACCTTAGAAGTTGGTGCTAGCTTACCTTCTTGAGCTTGGACCTCTGTTTCTCCTTGACTTTGTGGTTCAGTAGCCAGGATTGGAGACTCATCATTTTCTTCCTCATTTATCATTGAAGTAGGAGAACCTGTGTCATCTATAACCACATTGATCAATTCCATTAAAGACAAAGTTCGCAAGTTATAGACATGAAAAGCTCTACTAGTGGTTGAATACCCTAGAAAAATACCTTCATCACTTCGGGAATCAAATTTTCCCAAAGGCTCTCTATCTTTAAAAATGTAACATTTACTCCCAAAAGTTTTGAAATATTTTACATTAGGTTTCAATCCCTTCCACAATTCATATGGAGTTTGCAAAGTGCCGGACCTTAAATACACACGATTAGCAACATAAACCACGGTATTTAAGGCTTCAACCCAAAACTTTGAAGGAACTTTCTTTCTAAGGAGCATGACCCTAGCCATCTCTTAAACAACTCTATTTTTCCTCTCAACAACTCCATTTTGTTGTGGCGTAATATGAGCAGAAAACTCATGCTTAATTCCATGCATATCACAAAAATCCGAAAACGAACTATTTTCAAACTCACGAACATGATCGGTTCGGATTCTTATGATACGTCCAATAGAAACATCCTATTCATTTTGGATTTTAAGGACTAAAGTGTTGAAAGCACTAAACGTATCAAATTTTTCTTGTAAAAAATTAACTCATGAAAAACGAGTGTAATCATCCACAGTTAAAAAACTGTATCTTTCACCTCCAATACTTTTAGTGCGAGTGGGTCCCATAAGATCCATATGAACCAGTTCAAGAGAACATTTGGTT